TCCAGTTGGTTCTACATTAATTCAATTGATTTTTGATTTGATTCCATATAGCTATTAAACTATTCATTCAAATCCCTTAAGAATATATAGACAAACCTTGTATTCAGTGACATTAAAAAATCCCTCACTCTAAGGCTATTTCATGATCTGGGTTATTATTTAATTTAAAACACACAAAACACACACAATGTCTATCTGTCAGTTACTCTGATATGCAGTTAAAATGAGTGTATTGACTCAGTCTGTCACTGTCTTTAATAATTTCTGTATGGTAATGCCACATGCACTGCAATATGTTTTATATTTAAAGTTAAATTTTCAAATGAAAACAGCAACATGATCGTTTTATAAAGTATGCATTCATATGTGTTAAGGGCTACATTTTCGCTGGAGGAAAAGCCTGTGGTGTGACGAGGGGTGAACGCAGCGAAAACTTTATGACAAAGAACTGCACAGATGCAGATGTTGTTACAATCTATCAATAAACGCACACCTTCCTCTGTTTCTGGCTCTGCGGATTGTAGAACTCGGCAGGGTTGCCAGGTTTTCGAAACAAAACTAGCCCAATCCACTGATCTATATTATCTATTATTCCGGGGTTTTTTTTGGCGGGGTTCCCCTGGTACAATTCGCATTCAGGGAGCTAAATGTCACCCGCAGACATGAAAAACAACCCGTGGCAACAGTGTTAAAGTAGCCCAATTCCGCGGGAAAACCACGTACTTGGCAACACTGGAACGCGCTAAAGCCCCCCTAAAAATGGCTTAGCGACGCACATGAGCCAAAGCTAAGTGGTGAGTCTTAGAAAAGACTGTAGGAATAAAATAATGACAGAATGTTAATTTTACTCACCTGTATCGCTTTCTTTCATTAATCCTTTTTTCTTTCTTTCTTCAGTGAAACTCAAATGGAGCTTTTTCAGACAATACAAATGGATCCTAATTTGAAACGCCAAGCTGACAAACTTCTGGGCAGTATTCGAAGTCTTCTGAAGCCATATGATAACTTTGTGAGAGGAACAGCCTAAAAGTTAAGTCGTTATTCACTGAAAGTAGTGCCGTCTACCGTTGCCTTCAAATATCTTGAGGTTGAGTAACTTAACGGTACCTTTGAAAAAATGGCGCCTTTAGTTCTCGCGGATCACGTGACCAATCGAGTACAGCCTTATGGTGCGTTCAAGTCATGTCGGACAGATCGTATTTACTTGTTGAAAGCACATGAAGGCCGCCACAAAGTGGTTATTACGAGTGGGAAATTCAAAATTTTCTTTAAGCCCAGAGTTTCCGAGTTGGGGGCGTGCCAGTGAAGACTATAGATATGCAGTTCTGTATTGGTGGTCAATTTGTTGAAATTAATACAATTATTATATTTTTTTGTAATGTACAATAAAACTACATAAGTTACAAAATATTATATTATTGTATAATTACCATAGAATATATAATGATTCAGTTTACATCACCTTCATAAATTGAATAAAAACAGAAAAAGCAAAAACACGATGCAATTTATTAATTTTGTAGATGTAGAGTTTTCAAAAAATAATTGTAGGAAAGTTAAATCGCCATCTTGTTCCGACCAGGAGACTTGAACGCACCTGACGTTGTAATTACGACTTGTCAACTCGTAAGTACGAACTTCCCAGGAGGACTTGAATGCAGCATTATACAATAGCAGCCGCGTGTTACATTTCATTCAGAGTGCTGCAGGTACCGTGCCCAAAATCTGAAAATACTATACATTTATGTAGTGAATTTCAGTGCACTAAATGGCACATAAGTCTTCAACCATGCTCCTGGGGACCCACAGTCCTGCAGAGTTCAGCTCCAACCATAATCAAATGCCTTAAACAGCTAATCAAGGTCTTCAGGATCACTTGAAAAGTCACAGGCCAGGTGTTCTGAAGCGGGTTGGAAATAAACCTTGCAGGACAGTGGGTCCCCAGGAGCAGGGTTAAAGACCTATGGAGTAGCAAATTTGAGTGCTGAAGTAATTACAGTGTGGCAGAGTGCGAGCTATTGCCAAGACTTATCACAGAAACACATATGCATGTATTTTATTAAATACTAATTTTACTTTGTAATCATAGCCTAAGTGCTGCATTTTTGTTGTTGTTGCAATGTTCTGTCAACAGCCTGTAAAAATTGTGGATTACCCTTTTCTCCAAATACTACTGAAGCCTTATTGAATCGCGCCAGTGAAACTGGCCAATGGCGTTCCAGATTTTTTGTGACAAATTACCCCACATAATATGAAAACATGCTCTGCTGTTTGCACATACATCGTAATTTTCTTTTCCTTAAATACTAAATGTTAAATAGTTTTTGTAGCCATAACTGTCTATACAGAAATTGACCTCATTTTGTTTTTGCTTCTATAGCCCAGGAAATTACCTTTCATTATCCCCATAGAAATGAATCCTTGGTAACCAGGGTTTTCTCCATGGGTGAGCGGTCCCTACCTTGACTACTGTATACACCTGCCTTTTGGTAGTTACATCTCTCAAATGAACCTGAGAGGCTGCTTCATATACTTTACTGATACAGTGGCAGTAGTTTCTTGCAGGTCAGGTTTCAAACTGAAAATGGGATTTAATAAACCTAGGATTCTGAAAACAATTCCTATTCTTTCATTGGGTACAACACTGTCCATCGTCCTACTGAACTATCCAAGGAAGAACTGCCCTTCTAAGGGGAAACTGGAACTGAATCACTCACTAAAGCAGGATGTTGGAGAATTACAGGCTTGTTCAGCTATTATCCAAGGAGACGTGGATGGAGTGGACAAGGGTGTTTTCAGGAAGCTCCTGGCCTCTAAAAAAAAGAAAATATCTACTATCAGAGTCATTCTACCTCAACGCAACCAAAGATTGTCCATCCTACATCCGAGGATTTCTGACGGTTTCTCTCAGTAAAGAGGAGAAAGATTTCCCCATTGCTTACTCCATGGTGATACATGAGAAGATCGAGATGTTTGAAAGGCTCCTGAGAGCCATTTACACTCCTCACAATGTGTACTGTGTTCACGTGGACCAGAAGTCTCCTGAGATCTTTAAAGAAGCAGTAAGGGCCATTACGTCCTGCCTGACCAATGTGTTTGTGGCCAGCAAACTGGAGCATGTGATCTACGCCTCCTGATCTCGAGTTCAAGCGGACATCAACTTCATGCAGGATCTGCTCAAGTCACCTGTCCAGTGGAAGTATCTGCTCAACACATTTGGCTCTGATTTCCCCATTAAAACCAATGCAGAAATGGTTCAGTCTCTAAAACTCCTGAATGGAAAGAACAGTTTGGAGTCCGAAACCGTAGAGGCCAAAAAGGGCCGCTGGCAATATCACGACATTACGAACGTTGTGACTTGGGACAGATGCTAAAAAGTCGTCTCCACCAATAAAGACCCCAATGTTCTCAGGAAATGCTTACTTTGTGGTTTCAAGAGAGTTTGTGGAGCATATCTTCAAAAGCAAAGAGATTCAAGATTTCATGGAATGGGAGAAAGACACGTACAGTCCAGATGAGCACATGTGGGCTACATTACAGCGGATGCCTTCAGTTCCAGGATCTAATCCTCCAAACATCAAGTACCAGCAATCGGACGTGAATGCAATTGCTCGTTTGGTGAAGTGGAGCTACTTTGAAGAACTGAAGAATGGGGCTCCCTAGCCACCATGCACTGGGATGCACAGACGGGCAGTGTGTGTCTATGGAGCTGGGGACTTAAAATGGATTGTACAGCAACACCATCTTTTGGCAAACAAGTTTGACCCAGAAGTAGATGATGCAGCAATCAAATGTATGGAAGCCTTTTTAAGGTACAAAGCTATTTATGGTCAATCATTACTAACAGTTAAAAATTCTGGCATTATTTTATGATGCCAGTAGTAATATGTTGTTTAACGGTCTATGTGTTTTTATAAAAAATTGTCAGTGTGAATGTTTTATTCATTTGGATAGCAATTCTGTAATTTATTATTTAGTTTTTATACTGGCATACTTATAAGATAGCACAAATGGATAAATACAACTATATAAAAATGTATAAATCTTCCCTTTGTTTTATATTGAATTTTTTTTGTAAAAGTAGTATGTAAAATATGAGTAGCAAACTAACCTAAAACATACATTTCAGTTGTGCTCAAAAGGAGCCTAGTGGAAACACTTGATCATGTCCTGTTCTCTGTAAGGGAAATTACACAACACTGATCTGTTGGGAGTGTTGTAGAACATTCACGATGACAATGTTATTTTCTTGTGGAAGTTTACTTGCAAGAACATAACATACAAGAACCCCACCCTCCCAAACCATTAATGAAAGTGAATTGAAGAAATGTTACTGGTGCGATACATTTTTGCTTAATTCCTTTCGGTCTCCTTTGCACATTTCTCCACGATCTCGAATCATACACCAAATCAGCAGTAAACAATACGTGGTATAACTATGAGATGTTCAGTGAGCAGATGACAAACAACGGCAGACTGTGGCCCTAAAAATAACGTTTCAGTCATAAAAATATATTAATCTTTCTCCTTGATTGCCGTTTGATATAAATATATATTTAAATGTAACGCAGAACATGCATCGACTAGTTCGAAAACGGAGTGCCTTAACTAAGAGCAAGATACAATTGGAACTAGAACATGTTGACAGTATCTACTTATTGAAATGATACATATAAAAGGTTATTAAAATGTTTAACGCAGAAATCAGATGCCATCTGACAAGTGTTTGGCACACAAATGCAACAGGGAGAAAAAAAAGTCACATAGCGTAACAGGCAGTCAAAACTTTAAAGGGACAGCTCACCCACGAATAAAAATTCTGTCATTATTTACTCACCCTCACGTCGTTCCAAATCTGTATGACTCGTGTGTGCAGCACAAAAGCTCCTCTTTTCCATTCAATGAAAGTGAATGGGGACCACGAATATCAAAAAGAGCAGCTTGGACATTCTGCTAAATATCCTCTTTTGTGCTCCACAGAAAAAAAAGTCACATGGGTTTGGAATGACATGAGAGAGCGTAAACAATGACTGAATTTTCATTTTGCGATGAACTACTCCTTTAAAAGGCACTTTTCTGACATCAAGATCTTGCGTTCTCCAGTTAAAAGAAACCCAATTCATTCGTTGATTCTTCCAGCTTCTCTCTTCAACTCCTCTGACTCACTCTGGCACTGCTGATGTGGCCATCTCCACCTTTCCATGCACGTCCTGGTCAATCCTAAGTTGGAAAAACAAATTATAAGGGATCAGAATCAAATCCATACCAACACTTCAATTTGATTCAAAAACAACAGCCGTTTATACACAAATCAATACACAGACGTCACAACAAGATCTCATGACTTTACACTCAAAGGTTTAGTCAAGACAACTTTTTGATTGAGGTTAAAAACATCGTAATAAGCAAAAAGTTTAAGTCAATTAATGTGGAACTTAAGTCAGTTGATTCTGCACTGTTCATTGTACAAACTGGATGAAAAATATTTCCTGAAGAAAATGTAACTGAATCTTGTGCACAAGACAGTTGCTATACAGTTTCTAGGGCATTCTAAGTGTTTTATGTGTGGAAAACAGTGTAAACTGTAACGCTCCATCTTGTCCCGTGTAATCACCACTGTGAGGTTTACACAATGCATTTTGTCACATGTAGAGCTGGACATGCAGTGAGCAGTAAGAATGTGCATTGGCCAGGCATGCATTTGAAAAATAAATAAATAAATAAATGTAAACCACCCGTGACTTTACTGTTCACATCCTTCACCATAAAGTCTGTTTTACTAGCGTGGTCATACATACCATACTAACAGCGGCAGAACTGAGAGGACACAACGTCAGAATCTAAATTTGTGAGACGTTCATTTAAAACACAAGCAAGTTAGCGCAAATGGCCAAAAACCTGAATGAAATTAACAAGTTACTGGACTATTCAGATCTGGAGTATCCGTGAGTAAAACTCACTGCAGACTCAAAAATGTGAGGTAAAAGCAAGAGATTTATTGAGTTAGAGCTAAAAAAAAAAAAAAGTGTAAGATTAAAAAAAATAATAATCGTTACGTCTTGTTATATATTTATATATAAAATGCATTCAGGATAACTAATTGCACGTTATGTTATCTGCATAGTTTAAATCAGGTGTTTAGTAAATAGGAAAGAAAGAAATAGTGCAGAATCTGTTTTTTTTTCTTATTCATTTTACATCATACCTTGACAAGTCACGTTTTTCCTCAAATTAAAGGTGCTGTATGTACGTTTTTGACTCTAGTAAAGCATAAAAATACTATAATATGTTTGCAGATATTTAAGAAACATGCTAAGTTAACATACTTGTTTATCTGAAAAACAATGCTACAGTCAGTTATTCTCCTTTGAAAATGTGCGTTCTGGGCCGGAATGTCGGTCTCTGTTTTGGTTTGTGAAACCGGCCCACTGCAAGTTTACCCAATTGTATTTCGGAACCCCGGGTTGCCATTTGCGGAAAACACAGCGTATTTAATTTCATTCATCGTCAAGTGCGCTCGTTCCTGTTGGTGTCGTCAATCTGGCAACCTGCGTGTGCGTCAAGTCTGAGGAGGAGGGGCCAGGTGAAAAAGCGCTCTCCAATATTTTGAATTTGGACTGCAATCCCAAGTTCAACCACTCGGTGTCAATCCTACATACAGCACCTTTAAATAAAATGTTGTCTAGTCCTTTAAACCCCACTGTACATTTTTATTTCAGTGTTTTTAGTTATTTTATAAAATAAAATTAAAGAAATGTATTTATTTTTATTTATTTAAAAATAATTAATAAACTTAAAGTATGCATTTTAACTGCTTTGGATGGTTTGTATTTTTTATGGTGAACAAAGCAAGACATAGCGATAGGACAAAAACTACAGGAAATACTGCTTGCCTCAGTAGATTTAATAATAAAAGGTCAATGCAGGAATTTCAGAGCAAGTCAACACGTTTGCTTTTGAAATAAGTGACAAATTGTGCTCAATTTACAAAGTTAAAGTGCAAAACAGCTGCATTTACAACAAATGATTATAGTTAGATGGCACACAGAAGGCATTTAGAATCTTGATGACAATCGAAGAAGAAGCTAAAAAAGCAACTTCTGGTCCAGTGACCAAGTATAGGTGTACACTTAATAAAGCCAAACGATTAATTGTTAGTTTCATGCAATTCAGGCAAGGTCAACAGAGATACGACAGGGATCTCCGGAATGAAAATACAGATACCTTTTATGTTTTTTCCTATTTTTTTCTTCGTCAAACCTTAGAGGAAAGGCAGGAAGAAGGGTTAGGGCATAGAGAGTTTCTGAAGATACCACAGCCAACAGCAGCTAGTACTTGGGAGCAGATCAGACTTTCAGTAAAATAATTACAAAGCTGGAATACTGCTGAGAGACGAGAACAGTATGGAAACTTCAGTACGGAAGGTAATCATTTAGCATAGCTTGTCGAAACAGTTTCAGAGTAATGAACGTATAGAAACTGATCATTTCCTGCTTAAAAAAATAGGAAGCAGTAGGGCATATTAAAGGGATACTTACTGTTTAATGCAGTCGGGTATGGAAACGTACTCCATCGGGACAAGCTCAGCCAGGTCTGTCAGGCTGAACACATACTTGATTTTCTGGCTAAATTTTGAGCTGTAATTGGAAAAGTTCCATTGAATAATGCATTCAAAAGGTCATTGCAGGACATCAGTTCATATTAAAATATATCTGAAGGTAACTAGAAAAGGACTGACCTTATAAAAGGTTTTGTGAGGGCCAGGAGGGTGCGAATAAACCAGGACGGGTGCACTATTATCAAAGACTTCAAATTCTTCCTTAACCTGTATCAGAACAATGTGGTGCAAACATAAATTTAGACTTTTTTTTTACTGAAAATAAATATTCCTATTAATACTATTTATTTGGAAAATTGTATTAATTTTTTAAAATATATTAAAAAAAAAAAGATTTATATTAAGCATTTTTATTATTTATCATTTTGCATTTAATTATTATAAAATAATTGTATATTATTATCATTATTATTACATTTTTTCCCTAAGTTATAGATCGTTTAACAGCTGTTGGCTTGAAATTGCCTTTCTGGGTTATTTGGGTTTGTAACAAAATTACGTTGAAGATAAAAACAGAATGAGCAATTTAAAGGGACAGTTCCCCCACAAATGAACTGTGTTAGTAAATACTGGCAATGAGATTCTCACCTTCGATCTATTTGCTGATAGCATTTTCTGAGCCAGCCCACACTGGGCATCTTTCGGCGTGAAGTGGCTCCGTTAAGGTATACAATCATATAGTTCTCAGCTACAAGAAGCTCTAGAGTTCCTATGACATACCTGAATGACACACAAAATGTTAGTTGCAAAACCACCTAAGATTTGAGGCATCAGGTGAAGACTTGTCCTAACAAACTTAAGGTGTGGCCACATTAGTGAAGTTTGGACAAAATTTGGGGCAAAAAATTCCCTTGTCTATTGTCAATAGTGCAGTAGCTTTCAAACCAAGCAGCTTTCTGTTGGCATGGAATCCACTTAACCCGTTGCCAAATCTGTGTGAGGAAATCTTTCACTTCACACAAAATTCCACATTCTTGTCGAAATGACTGGATTTCACCCAAGAAAATAAATCACCAAAAAATGGTAAATGTGACCGCTAGACATGCTAGTTAAAGGAATAGTTCACCCAAAAATGAAAATTACCCCGTGATTTACTCACCCTTAAAGGGTTAGTTCACCCCAAAAAGAAAATTCTGTCATTAATTACTCACCCTCATGTCGTTCCAAACCCGTGAGACCTACGTTCATCATCGGAACACAAATTAAGATATTTTTGATTAAATCAGAGAACTCTCAGACCCTCCCATAGACAGCAACACAACCGTAATGTTCCCAAGTCCAGAAATGTAGTAAGGACATCGGTAAAATAGTTCATATGACATCAGTGGCTCAACTTAAAATTTTTCGAAGCTACGAGAAAACTTTGTGCGCAAAGAAAACAAAAATAACAATTTATTCAACAATGCCATTTTGGAGAGTACCCAAGAACGTAATCAACGTTGTTTACGTTAGGGGGGAAAAGCTCGCACATCAGCGTTTTTTACACTTAGGGGAAAGTGTGCATATGCGTTGTGATACTCTCCAAAATGGTGGAAGACGTAACTCAGGGGAGAAGAATTGTTGAATAAAATCTTTTTTTTTTCTTTGCGCACAAAAAGTATTCTCGTAACTTCGCAAAATTGACGTTGAGCCACTGATGTCACATGGACTGTTTTACCAATGTCCTTACTACGTTTCTGGACCTGGGAACATTACGGTTGCGTTACTGTCTATGGAGGGTCAGAGAGCTCTCAGATTTCATCAAAAATATCTTAATGTGTTCCAAAGATGAACGAAGGTCTTACAGGTTTGGATCGAAATGAGGGTGAGTAATTAATGACAGAATTTTCATTTTGGGGTGAACTAACCCTTTAAGCCATCCTAGGTGTATATAACGTTCTTCTTTCAGATGAATACAATCAGAGTTGTATTAAAAAATGTCCTTTCTCTTCCAAGCTTTATAATGGCAATGAATGGTGGTCAAGATTTTGAAGCAAAATAAAGTGCATCCATCCGTCATAAAAAGTGCTCCACACGGCTCTAGGGGTTAATAAAGGCCTTCTGAAGCAAATCGATATGTTTGTGTAAGAAAAATATCCATATTTAAAATGTTATAAACCGTAATCTCTAGCTTCCGCTAACTGCTGTACGCACATTCACGAAAGAGTGGTGTTCCAGCGGATGACGTAGGCATAGAGTAAGCTCCCCAACGCTTCGCTTCAGAAGTCATATACATCTAGAATGGCTTGAGGGTGAGTAAATCATGGGGTAATATTAATTTTTGGGTGAACTATCCCTTTAAATCAACAGAAAATGCATAATGTTGGGGAGAATAAAAGTATTGCATAAAGAAAAATGCCTATATTTAATTATGAAAAAAAAGTATTCTGTGATTGTGACAAGAATTGTGATATTTTCTTTTTTTGTGAGACATTATAGTTGGTGAGAAAGTACAAAATGATTCCTTAAGTAAGTTTGTTGACTAAATTAAAAATGTACACAAGTTTTCATCAGTCCAAATGGAAAAACTGTTTACAAATTGTGTTGGAAGCAATTAGTAGCAACACATATTTGCCTTAATTTCATCAGTGCTGTCTGTGCAATATTTTGCAGAGACTATTCTGCAATGGATTGCAATGTAAAAATGTAACTGCAATGTAAAAAATGTTAAAGTTGCAAATAAAGATTATTGGAGTACATTTTACAAGAAAATACTAATACTTAAAAATTTGGAAGTGGAAATGAAGCAGTCAGTCAAGTTTACATTATTTAGTAAAGTGATTTCCACTTTGATTAAAAAATATATAACAAACACGATTAATGTAACCATTTTAAAGAAAAAAGGTTGTTTTGTTATAGCTTTTAGAGCAAGGGCGCCGCCATCTTGCAGTACCACCGCGTGTGACGTCACGGGGTTGGTTCGCTCTGATGGCCAGTGAAGTAATAGAAGCATTTCTTTACATTTGAACACACGAATGTTTTGAAATGGAGGAAGATTACATTGAAAGCACTGTTAAGTCCATAATAAGTGCAATTGCCTATGCATTTGAGCCGATACGGCGATGGGACCGAGCAGTATTAGGGGTTGAAGAAACCGCACCGGGAAGTGCGGATCGGAAACAATACTCGTTTACGTGGATACTCCTCAAGACTGTCATTCCGACGTGCTTTGTGTGCATTTGCAGATGAAGGCACGACAGAAAGCTCAATTTGGTAGCCTACTCACGTGCTGTCCGAGCCGAGCTGTGGCTTTGTGTGTGTGTGCGGCGCCGCCGGCACACAACGCCTGAGTACCGCATTTAAATCTCTTTCAGAAAAGGTCTATCACAGCGTGTAAGTACCGCACTGAAATCTATTCCATGCTGTCTCACGCTTGAATGGCTTAAACACTTTAATATTTAAACTGACAAGGCTTAAAACACGTGAGAATGATAAACTTTATTGAGGAAGCAGCACTGGTCCGATTGTTCAGATAACGTTAGGTGATTAGTTAAACACTACGTCCTGTTAACAGCAGGAAAGCTAATTGTATTCGCAGGTGAACATAAAATATGATACATACAACTGGTGAACCAGTCAATGTAATGCATATGTCTTAATGGTCTGACATAACAAT